GAGACATGAAGAGCGCCAATGTGATGTTAACTGGATCTCTCCAACCTGTACGTATGTCCATCCATGAGACAGTGAACTTCTATTGAGAGAAGGTTCTAATCGACTTCTCGCTTGCCAAGTACATGCCAGAAGGTAACATCTCGACGGAGCGATGTTCAACATCAACAGGAGGAACACTGCATACGGGGTCAATCGGGACACCAACATATATGGCACCAGAATTAGTCAATGCTAATGGGGGAGTCCTGAGGTCTAATACTAATGTAAATGGTAACGATGGAAAATATAATTCTAGTTACGACAGGCGGGTAGATAGCTGGTCAGTTGGGGTGGTTCTACTTGAGATATTTACGGGTAATGTTGGATGCCGCGGATCCGCAATGCTAGTGGGGACTTGCTAGGGAAGGTGATGAGTGAGTCTAAAGATAGAGCAGCCTTTATGATGATCAATGAGGCTAAGGCACGTATGTCGGACAAGCCTGTCCCTGCCATCATCAAAGGTCTCCTAGAGGTGATACACTATTATGCATATAGGGAGACGAGTCATTATGGTGGTAGGTGGACCCCAGTAAGAGGTTGACCTGTTGCGATGCATACGACAGACTGAACAAACATAAGGACAAGGAGAACTCTATCATTGAAGACACAAGTACGGCAATACTGTTTGGGGTGATACAGCTCTCATACATCCTCCTCTTCCTGTAGTGCCTGTGAAGCCTTTGAAGGATTATTTCGGCAACTACGACATCCTAGGTGATACCAGTACATTACAGGAGCTTAGACGATTCTATCACCTATTGGAGATGACCAACCCGACTACTATCAAAGCAGCTCTGTCCGTCGATCATCATACGCTACCTGACGATAGTCCCCTAATGTAGTTACTATCACTCATCGCTCATCAGTACATCACCAGAGGGTGGTGTTATTCCATCACCACTCCATCTACTAATATTAGCACAGAAGATCTACGAGCCTCAAACCATTGGTAGCCTCCTTTCTGGACTAACTGCTTGGGAACAATCTCGGTGGCTTAGACCTCATCAACATTGACGAGTTCGATGAAGATGATCCTTATCTTTCTGATTTCGATATCGATGATTATATGAGGGACGAGATGCGTATCATGGAGGTCGTGGGATGGTATGTCGTCTTCTCCATTACTCCAACTACCATGCTCCACTACCCTGACCGTAGGTGTGCTTTTGTACAGCCTGTATCGAGTCAGGCTGAGGTGGATCGTTTGGTTGGTAATGCAGTGAGTAAGAGATCTCTGAAAGGTAACTAGTCTCGATTACCAAGATTGTTGGTGTGATGGAAGGCCCTTGGCAGGTAAGAGGAAAAGGAAGGCAGAAAAACAAATTGAGAAGAGGCGAAAGCACGCAACGAGAGCTCAATACGGAGGAGACACCGTCGATAGTGATGATGATTAATGCATGGTAATTCTCTACAATAAATGCAGTATTTTCATTCATGCCTGATTACTCTCGAGTTGCTTGTGCCACGAAGG